GCCTACCCCCTAAGTCAAAAAAAAAAGGTGCTGAAAATTATTTTGATTTTTCTCTGAGGATTGCAGACTTGAAAGTCAGACATTTCGCCAGTTTGCAGGTCCTCGGTGTTGAAGAGCCTTCCCTGGTGTCTGGCATTGCGTCTGTTGCTCGCTTGATGCTCTCGCGGGGCGTGGCATATGCCAGGCATTGAAGGGTCCGGTGGGCTGATCACAGATCGGAATTGTCGCGGATTCATGATTACACATTATAGAGCCTGACTTGGACTTTCAATTCTTCCAAGCACGCATTCCTCTCTGCCTGTGCGTGAGGCGGTTGAACAGCACAGGTTCTCGCTCTCCACCTCCCGTTATGTGGGAGTGGTGCCACGATCGCTACATGGGTGCAGCGCATGGAGTCATGGGCATCCTTTTCATGCTGCTTCATGTGCCCGAGCTACTGGAAGCCCCTCCGACTTGGTTTGTTTTGCATGTTTTCTCATCGTTTTCTTTCTTTAAATCTCTCGTCTCTCTGCCAATATTTTAAAGATTCGTTTCGCTGTCAACATTTGACACACCATTCCAGGGGGAGAGCCTGGACCTCCTCCGACAGAGCTTGCAGTGGCTAGCTACCATGAGACAGCCTTCTGGCAATTGGCCTGTTGTGCTACTAGGAAGCAGCTTTGAGAAGGCCCGAAATGACCTGGACTTGGACCAACCAGAAACGCATGTGGTTGCTTTCTTTAGTGCCCAAGTCTTGAGGTTTGGAGAAGGTGGGGCAGATTGCATCCACTTTTGCCATGGCGCGCTTGGGGCCTAGTTTTGGGAGGTATTGATGTCCGAATCCGGAATGTAGTGGTGTATATTACGGTGCATACATATACGTATGCTCACCCCCCCCATGATCTACCTTTTCCTGCTCTCAGCTCTGGCTTGTCCTGCATTTTAGCTCTTCCACTTTTCATACTTCTCAGTTCTTCACCTTTTCCTGCTTGTCAGCTGCTTTTCTGTGCTTTGCTACCTGTGTGGAGTAGATTTTTGCAATACTTCCGCAAGATTTAAGAAGGGAGTTAAAGAAGAAATCAACTAAAGAGCTGAAAGGGAAATCACAAGAAATCAAAAAGAATTGAACGGATATCAACCAAAACAAAAAGGTTTTGTGTTATTTTTAAGGGAATTCACACATAAAGATGAAGAAAAATGAAAGGTGTAGATGTAATTGCGGGTATGTGTTTATTAAAGCCAAGCGGGGCAGACATTATGGGCTAACCCCTTGTGGAATAGGTTTTTGCAATAGTTTGATATACTATAATTAAAGAAATTGAACTAAAATAATTTGATTAATTAAGTGTGGTAAAATGAGAGCATCAATTTTTTCTAGTGACAAGTTACAGGTTGCACAGGGGGCTTCCTTTGCCTCTTCGCGGGCCTTTTGGACTGGAGCCATGTTCCCTGCCGAAGGGGGTTGACGTGGAAGTTGGCGAAGAGAATCCTGTTCACGAGAGGTGGTGGAGCTTGGAACGAATGGGTGGAGGAAGGCCCATGGGCGACACCGGAGCCAACAAGTCCACCCAGGATTATGGTTGTTGTTCCTTTCGCATGCGTCGCGCGCGCCCCCCCGAGACCTCGTATCAAACAAGTTTGAGGCGCGCCCGCGAGCGAAAAGAGACCAGGCAAAATCCCGCAAGCTGGTGGTGGAGAAACCTTTTTAATGACAAAAAAGATGGAAAACGCTGTAAATATCGATGTCTTTTGCTGCTCGAGGGTTCAACAGTGGCCCAAAACCACGCTATTTTGCGTAGTTTCTGGTGCTTTTACGCAAGGAAGCCATGTAAATGCCGATGGTTTTGAGCTATCGAGTGCCCAAAACCACGGTATTTATGAGGTTTTCTCGAAAAACGTTATACTTTCAGCACTTCGCGCGCCACGCCCCAAAAAAGGTTGATATTTACGCAGTTTTGGCAATGCTGCGACATGTTCTTTCTAGATCGAAATTTGCGAAAGCGCGGTAATTTACAGTGTTTTGCGCCCTGGCGCAAAAAAGAGCTTCAAAACAGTCCTTGTAAGACCCAAATCCAAATCCAATCCAGACTTCAATTTTTTTTGTCCAATTTGCAGGCTTTTTTGACGATTTTTTCGGCCCTCCTGGGTACCCCTTAAAAAGGCCTCTCCCCAGGCTCAGGGATTTTGCTACATTTCTCGTCTTACCGTTTTTGGAATCGCTCCAGGGGCAAAAACGGCTCGAAGCGGAGGCGAGAGCGCAATTTTTTAAGCCCGATTTCGCAAAACACCGTAAGCGGCATTGGGAGCACCCCGCCGTAGCCAAAGCAGCCACACCATACGGCGTCACCGGAATGGAATGGGCTAACGCCCAGGGGCCGCCGGCCCCTATTTGGAGCCGGGAAGACAAAGGTGGTGCAAAAAGGGAAATGAAGAGGAGTCAAAAAGAAGGCGCAAGGAACCCAAAGCAACGGCACTTTGAGGTTTACAAAGTACTGCGCCTGCCGTGAATGCGCTTTGAGGTTCACAAAGTGCTGCGCCTGCCACGAAACCTGCAAACGAGCCACGTGTCCAAAAGTCACGATTCACTGCACCTGTCACGAAATCGGAGCGTTTGGAAGATCACCACCATGTCCAAAGTGCTGGGCCTGCCACGACATCTGCATTTCGAAGCAAAACTGCTCCGATCCCTTGCGCCTGTCACGAAGTGGACTTTGGACCACCAAAGCACGAGGTTTCCCGTGCACCTGCCACGAAAAGTGCCTAAAATGCGCTCGGCACCACAACGAGGGCGCAGTCGCGAAAAGCGCCAGCCGCGCCCACGCAGATTTTGCGAGCCTGCTCCGAGAGGCATGAATGCGCTGTAAATAGCAGCAGCAGCGAATTACCCAAACGCCCCCCTGCAACACCTCGAAAAGACACCGGTGCTTAACCACTACCGTAAGAACCCCTAGTGTGACCACACTGTTTGGAGAAAAACAAAAACACTAACCTGAAACCAAACTTCCCAACTTTGTTTGGCTTTTGGTCAAGACATGGTAAGAATAGAATGGTTTGCGAACTTTAAGTAAGTATGTTATTAAATATCCGTATCAAGGCAGCACGTTTTAAACACTTCTTTTTACCGCCTTGGTAGTAGTCAGCTGATGAGGAGCACTGTTTTCTGATAGGGTCAAGAAACAGTTTTTGCACCGGCAGGTACCAAAAAACAGCTCTAGGTAGATCATGTGGGGGGCGTCCATACATGTATAGTTATATATACACATATAGATAATAGATACACATCTTGGATGTTAGGGCATGGAGGCTTGCCAACCCGCAATGGTCTTGACCAACTCCAAATCAAAGTTTCTAGGCCTCCTTTCTGTTTGGAAAAGCAGTGCTCAGGCTTGCTTGTTGTTACACAATGATTGCCAAGGCCCGGCGCCGTTTTCCTTTTCTGCAAGGCCTATGAAGTGCTGCGCGAGGAACAATGGCTGCAGCTGGCCAAGGACAGAGTGATTTAGCAGCATGACACATTTTTCATGATCAGTTTGCATCTCACGCACCACCATCCCTGAGCAAAGAACCATTGTTTGCGTAGCGGGTACTGGGCTGGGGAATCTTGCCAGGAAGCTGGTGAGGTGGTTTGGAAGTACGGCTTGTTAAAGAAAGGGCCAGGCATTTGTCATGGCATTGCTGGCAATGGCTATGGTTTCCTTTGCCTTTATCGTGTCACGGGACATCCTTTGTGGCTGGGACGCGCCTACCACTTTGCATTGCAGATCGCGACTCCGGAGGTGCAGAAGGACTCACGCACCCCTGACAATCCACTGTCCCTTTTCGATGCCTGGATGGAGGAAAACACAGTTTCCACTTGTAATTTCTATGCGATTTGATTGGCTTGAGCACCCAAATGAAACAAATGACATCGCTATGTACTGAGAGATTCTTCATTGGACAGACCTGGCCAATTTGAAGCTCAATGGCCCAATCTTGACTTTTCGTTTCGTTATGTTTCGTTGAAATATCGGAAATCCCTGTTTCACCAAGGAAGGTCTTGCTGGAACACTTTGCTTCCTGATGGACCTCCGGTTGAAACCGAAGGATGGGGTCCCAGTGCGGTGGAAGATAAACCAAATGTGTTTGAATCATGAAACGAGTTGGCTGAGCAGATGGGAACAGTCCCACAATCACGCACACACATTGTATATATATATATATACATGTAAATGTATATGTATATATACATTATATATATATATATCTATTGTATTCCTTTTATGATTTCATATTCTATACAATATTTTTGTAATATATTATATTATACTATATTATACTATCCTACAATACATTTATTACATTATACTGCGTTATATCATACTGTATTATATTATACCATGCTATGCTATGCTATTCTATTCTATGCTATACTATGCTATACTATACTATACTATACTTATATGTATACAGTGTACATTTCCATTTTCCAACCTTGAGGCGGGGCAAGACAGCCACCGGTTTGGGTTTACTTTTGCTCTTGGAATTTGTGGTCAACATGTGCATCGGTGAGGAGGCAGCTTTTCCACTCTTTGAGCTCGAGAAGCTTTGGGATTCCAAGAGGAAGCGGTCTGCTGAGCCGGCGGCCGATAGAGGAGGAGGCTTCGAAGTCCCAGATTGAGCACCTAGTAGCTTCCCACAACCGCGGCACAAGTATCGTGCACCCTTTTGTTGGATCAAGTTGTTTTTGACATTTTTGGCTCTCATCCGTTGGAGTTGCTCCTCCTTTAGATACCCTCGCAACTGGCGTGTGCTCTCTCACAAGTGGAGAGCCAGCAACTTATATATGCCTGCATGTGCAGTCATCCAGTGACCTTGCTTTGGGCTATAGCTGGCAGTGGCTGCTCATGCCAGGATTCCTAGGATGTCTTTGAGTTTCATGGACAAATGGATGCGTGCATGATCCATGAGGCAAGCTCGGATAAAAATTGCTGAAACTTTACACTTTCTTGCTTGCAACCTTGGAACTCTCGATTGCAATGGAGGCACTTTCAGTGGACCCCTGCAATACGCGGGCGCTCTTTCGCAGAGGATGTGCGTATTCTAATGCCCGGACGTCAGTTGTTGGACATGGACAGTTAAACTTCAGGTTTGAACGGGGCTTCCCGGTTCAATAGACGCTCGCATTTATATAGATTCTTTTGGGCTAATCAGGCTCATTGTAACAGTTACTTGCGCGGCCAGGATCCTGTTTGGCAAAGAGACTTTGTCATTTGCAGAGGCTTCGGCTGAGATATTGACTTGAGGCGCAAGGGTGGCTTCTTGCCCGAAAGGATTTCGAGCAGGCGCTGCTGTGGCAGGACACAACAGATTGATGCCTTGATAGCATACAGGGCCTGCAGTCTACGCCGTACTTGTTTGTTTGCCAAGACACCTCCGTCAGTTCCCTGTTTGGATTGTGCATGATTGTGCTTTCAGCTAGCTGGGTTGGTGGCATTTTAATACAGTGAACAGATTTGAGCATCTAATGACTACAGTATTGACCCATTGTCAGTTTTACTTTTTGCTTTCAGCTTCTTCAAACACGAGTCTTACTTGACATGGAGCTGTAGCTTGTTGTGGCAGACAATGTGCTCTGGAAATCACGTGACACGTCCAAGAGAGTCAGTCGGCTGCCTATCAGAACTCGTGCCTTGGGCTAGTGCATGTCCGCATGGCGACTCTGGCCGATCTGATCTTGTCACAAGAGGAGCCCGATCTTGATGATGAATCCTTGGCCAGGGAATTGGCCGCGCTGCGCGAGAAACGACGCGAAATGGACGAGGCTGAAGTGGAGCGACGGGAGGCGACAGGGCGACAAGCACCGGAACGACCCTCTTCTCGCTCCGACTCCAACAGACTACCTCGGTCTCGTCCGGTGTCGCGGGCAGAGCCAGTGCGGCAAGATGATGCGGGCAATGCGTGTGAAGGGCTCCAGCTTCAGGAACTTAAGCCTTCTTTGGCCGATGCAATTCTCGCCAGGGCTGAAGAAGCCGAGGAATCGATCGATAAAGAGATCGAAGAGATGGATCGACAACTCAAGCTGAAAGTTGAAGAGTTTCGAAAGCAACAACGCGGAGGCTCTCCAGAGGATGCTGGTGCTGAAAAGCAGGATGAACGTCCCACATCGGGGCTGGTAGAACCGAGCTTCAAGCCCTGTGAGTCCAATGAAATGGGTTGCACAGGTCACTTGCCGATCATGGACGATGAACTGCAGGAACTGAAGCACTTGGCTGCAAAGATGGATGAAGCTTTTCCGGAGTTTCCAGCTCCTGCCGGAGATGCTGGGCCAGTCCGTCGTCCTTCAGCCGGTGGCTATCAGGAGCCAGATGGCCGTAGCCTTCCGATGGATGATGAGGTCTCTCAGTTCAAAAGCGCCCTTGAGAACTTAGACGTTCGTTTGCGGGTGCTTCAAAGCAAGAAGGACTGCTTGAACTTTTGGTTTTGTAGAGAGCTTAGACCTGGTTCAATCTCAACTCCCACGCATTTCTCAAAAATCTCGGAGCCTATTGAACTCTCGGGTGTCCCCTTGCTTCTCATAGTAGATCAATATTATACGGTGGCTTGTTATGCTTCTCAACCACCCAAACCCAGCTCTGAACTTTTCTTTGGAGGATCTTCAGAGTTATGAGGAGCCAGTTGTCAAAACCCCCGTCATCAAGGACTTGCAGATGCAGAACCAGGTGGACATAGGGACACGGGCGAAGACGGTAAAATGCAATGCCGCCAATCATTTTGAGTGGAATGGCCACCAGGTCTTCAATGTTTTGTAGAGTGTGCAGTGTGCCCAGAAACTCCTCTGACCACATACAATGTAGAGTCAACAGTCAACAGAACTTTTGAGAAGAAGAGGTGCAGGCAGAGTTGTTTTGAGTGGATTCCCTTCAGTCTTGTTTTGGGTCATCATTGCTTGCTGGCCAGGTGCTACGGGATTTGTTGTCTGGTGAAGGACGCAAAGGAATGCTACACTTGGATCGAAAGCTGTTCTCGCCCTGAGCATGTTGAAGTCTTCCACCACAACGCAGCTCCAGTGGTCCTGAGGGCAAGTATCAAAGGGATGTGTTCCCTGAGAGACTGTTTCACTGAATTCGTTTCGCCATATGGAAAACTCATGAAAACTCAGATTCAATGCAGACTGTCGCCTTTGTCATTCGCTTCTTTTTGAGTACCATCACTTCTTCGGTCAAGCTTTGCAACAAAGAAACATGTTTCCACCCCGACCTCCCGTTTTTGCATTTCTTTATCCTTGCAGGAGACCTATGGGCCACACACACACATATATATATATACATATACTTATACTGTAGATGGGAGCACATGAGACTATCATGAGACGCATGAAATTCTTGCAGATTACCACATCCTGACATTTGTAGGTCCTGCGCCTCGAGCCCAACAATGAGGCAGCGCGGCGAGAGTTGGAGAAATTGGAGGCTCGATCCGGTTGGTGGAGGCCATCTCTATTAGGTTGGAGGCTATCGCTACTAGGGTGGAGGCCATCGCTATTAGAAACAAAGAGAAAAAGGAAGAAAGGTCTGATATAGATGGCCTTTAAAGAAAGGGTGTTGAATGATCCAAGGGACCCAAAGACTAAGGATGGGAACACGGATGTTGTGACAGGCGGAGTTGCCTCCAGCGGCTCCAGATGTCCTGGCGAGGACGTCCCAGTTATTCTTCTCCTTCAACGATGCGTGGTAGTTGGTTTGGCCTGGACATGTTAGAAACGCCGTGGGCAAGCTTCTTCGGCTTGTCTTCTCAGGAGGCAAGAAGATCTGCCCGTGGCTACTGTGCCCAAGGATCCAGCTGCTGCAGTGAGGCCTGTGGCTTGTTGCAGATGTTGGCAGAAAAAAGGCATGTGCAATACTGTATAAGTCATGGCTATTTGTTTAGGTTAAGAACAAGTAAGGCAGTTGGAGTTTGAGACAACCTTCGCCTGTGCTAGGTTGAAACGCATCAGACCCAGCATTGCCCCGAATAAAATTGAGCGTGAACGCCAGCTGACAATAGCCGTGGGCTGGTGTTTTGTTCAACAAGTCAGGATGGCTCAGAAGGAAGCTGAACGCTTTCGCAGAGAAATCCTCGCAATGGCTGACAAGAAGGACTGGACACAGGTTTTGAATCCCAACTTTGGGTTCACGCGACCCAAAGGTGTTTTTTGATGCTTCAATGGTGGAACTCTGCCAAGTTGTGCAGGGCTGCGTCTCAGACTGGTGCAAGAAATTCAACAAAGTCCAGGCGGTATGCTGGCCTTTGTGTGAACACAGAATCAATGAAAGTCGACAAGTCGACAAGTATATAATAATGCAAGATAACAGTTCTGAACACAGAGAGAGAGAGATAGATAGATAGATAGATAGATAGATAGATAGAGTTAGAGTAGTCCTTTCAGACATGCTGCCCGCCAATGGGATCAGAGAACCCTGAGCTGAGTAATACAGCCTCGCCAGTGTCTCAAGGTGATGGCAGTGGATTGGGCCAAACACCAGCTGAAGGATCCGGAAATTTTGCAGGACTGATGAACCAGCATGCTTCGGAGCAGGATACTGTTGGTGTAGGTTTCCATTCGTCTCATTCATTCCACCTGGTACCACAGTGTCACGTCAGAACATGCATGAACATGCACTGACATGGGGTGACTATTGCATTGGCTGCTTTCACTCTGGGTGCGGCAGCATTTGAGAGAGGATCATGCGGTATCTGCTTTGTTTCAATTGGGATCGGCCGCTGGGCCGTGTTCACCAGGATCTACTCACGCTGCGGGGCCCTCTCTTCCAAGCGATGGACAGCCAGCAGCGCGAGGTCGGGGCGTCCAGGTTTGGTGGAAGGTGTGTGTGCTTTCCCTCTGGCGTGCCGCCATAGAAACTCGCAAGGTTTAAAGAGTGGTTTTGCCAAACGAATCTTTTCTACTTGAGATGTGTGGAGGTGAGGCTTCATCCTCTAGCTGTCAGCCCTTGTTTGTGAACTGGCTTCTGCCTGATTGTGGAGCTGTGTTCAGGATTTCCTGTGCGCGTACGATTTTGTCCAGGAGGCCAGGTCTGCCGTGAACGTGGTGATTCAATGCTATGCCATTTCATAGACGTGCTTTGATGATTGGTGAATCATATGGAGCACCTGCCACAACTGAAAACCAAATTGCAAGAACCTTTGCTCACAGAACGGATGTAGAACTAACTAATCATCAGGAGCTTTGGACTACCCTCCTCATCCCTCCATGATTGGTCAGCATTGCAAGCACTTTATTATTCAATGGGTATAATACTGTCGTTCTCGGTGGACTGGCTGCAGACTGGCTGAGAATGATAGCATTTGCTCCTCTTTTGACTCTTGACTTGCTTTTGTCTTGGTTGGGAGCAGCTGTGTGGAGGTGCGGCAGAGGCACCAAGAAGAAATTGAAGCTGAGCTGCATGTGTCTACATGGGTGACATCACTCTGCGGTGTTTTGGCAATGCCAGGGTTTCAAGAAGTTAGCGCTAACAGTTAGCCGTCTCTCAGGACAAGCTCTTTGAAAGCTGAGCAGCGCTGCTGCCTGGCTGGTTCATGAGAAAGGCGACGTTGTTCTTAACATCCCGGATGTGACACAAAGTGAGAATCGCCGTGGCAGGTGCTATGTGGAAGTGCTTCCAGATGCGAACTGTTTAATAATAATCAGAAGTTGGTCGGAACTCTGCTACAGTTTCCGTCTTGGTGCCAAGACTTCAATTGGATCCCTGTTGTGATCAGGTTGAGAAGTTCCAACCCAACTTGAATGTAGGTCAAAGGGTGCGCCAGCTTCTTTGGATGCATGACAAAACATTGTCATCCCAGACAACAAGGTGCTGCCAGTAAAATCCATGGTTGGGTATGGTTGGGTGACAAGGTTTGAATGATGAGGCGAAAGGGCGGGTTGTGTTGGAACACTGTACCGACGAAAGTTTGTTCTACCATCCTGCACAGGCCCGGTCTGCCCAACCAATCGACCAAATTTTGCTCCTGTATGGATACATATGCTATATATATATATATTTGTTTGTGTGTATTGATATATATATATATATGGAGGTTATGTACATTTGAGGGTTGGGTTGGGCGTTGGCTTCAGAAATAACCTTTGTGCAGCATTCGAGAAGAAGGCTGAGGGCTGAGGGACCACTGACACCACGCAATCTTTAAGGGTGGTGAGCACAGCACCGACAGCTGCAGCAGAAGGAAAGCTTGACCGCAGCAGCTGCTCAAAACCCCTTGGTCCACGTTGGGTCCGGCAGGCGGGGAGATGCAGGGCTTTGCGGCTTTGCAGGGCCCTGGGCATCAGAGCCTCGTGAGTTCTCCATTGGACCTCAGGCGGTGAGGTCATATCCAACTGATTCCAAACCTTGGATCAAGGTGAGTTGAAACATTTCAAGACCCAAACATCTCCATGATGATCCTGGAGCTGGGCAGCTGTGGAACACCCCACGTTTCCCTTGGTATTATGCACATAAATACACCTAAGCTGAACACGCTGGCAGACAGAGAGAGCTTATTTTGCTCAAGAGTGTGTGGCCTTTGTAGTGGCATCTTTTTTAAACACCCTTAGGATTGCAGTTGTCTTAGTTGTACTTTCAGTGGAGGGGCGAGGGGCCCGCGCGCCCATGGTGACCCCGTTGGGGTTTCTGGACACGCACACCTGCGAGCAGATTGGCTCAACCGAGCCTTGTGTCGATCTTTGGTCTTCCCTCGTGTGCCTCGGACCTTTTCCTGAAGAGGGGGTGTGTTTTCAGGACGCAGATTTTCAGGTGCATTACTTGGATCGGGATGGGCTAATTAAGCTCATGTCCTGCCAGTGGGCCGGCCATTTGCTCTTGGAGGACCATCGGCTGTTGCATGAACGAGATCTTTGGGCATTCCCACCGCCTGTGTCACCAAGTGACCCCTTCGGACGCATTCCATCGAGTGAAGATGCAGGATGTGCCGAGCTCTTAAGATCTGGAGACTTCCTTTTCCATCACCTTTATGTGGCGTCTGTAGGCGTGGTTGATGGTATTGATGTTGGGCTCGGGCTTTTTGCCATGGCTGAGATTCCACAAGGTACTGTCCTGGGTGAATATACAGGGGTCTTGTCGCGGAGAGTAAGCGAAGATGATGGAGTTTATGGCTATGGACTGCCAGTGGTTGATCCGGACCTTGTGATCAACGCCAAGGACTTTGGAAACCTTTGCCGCCTGATCAACCACAGCGAGGATGAGTGGAACGCTGAGTTGATTACTGTTCACCACGAAGGCATGCTCCATGTGGTCTGCAGAGTTGTGAGTGACATCGTGGCAGGGCAGCAGGTATTGATCCACTACGGTGCCCGCTACTGGCGTGTGGAGAGCCGCTGCCGAGTGCAGTTGTCTAGATGTGGACAAAGTGGAAGGGTTCATGAGGCCGGTGGCTACTTGTCACATTGAGAGCGCAGTTCGAGAGTTTAGTTCCAGGCGCAGACAGACTAGTGACTAGTGATTCGCCTTGTCCTTGGAGTTTCTTGGATTCCCTGCAGCTTCGTCAACGTGAACTACAGCACAATGCCGGTGTGACTAGCATTTTTCAGAGCTTGAAGCCGAAGTTGATCGATCGTGTGATGGAAGTGTCCGTGCCTTGGTCCGTGAGACCGGCCGTGATCGTCACCCGACCCGCACGCTGTGCCGAAAGAAGTGCGGAGGCGCGAGGCGCCTGTTTCATCAGGACGGCAACGTTTGGGACCCGACATGGTTTGGAGGGCTCACACACTTGAGGGTTCACAGTTCTACCCGTTGTTAGAGAGTCAGATGTGCTTCCATACATGGAAGCAGGTGATCCAAAAGAAAGATCAGATGTTGATGGGACGGTGTGGTCCCAAAGGGTTCCCTGTCCCAGGCGATGGCGGCAGCTTTGTCGTGGGATGCGGGGTCCTAGGAATGCGGCTGGTTGGATTTGTGTCTTTGAATGTCCTTGGCGCGGAATGTACATTGTATATACATGTTGATCTTAGCGCATTTTTTCAGTAAGAGATGCGACATGAAACTGAGCCTCCAGTTGAATGTGCAATGGAAAAGGACACATGGGAAGCATGTTTTCCAACCATCCCTGGCCATTTTTGTTGCAGTTGTGGCTCAGAAGCAGCGCTTTTCCGCTGTGGGCAGTGGGCCCTGGAAGGTGGCGGCCTCTTACAAGACTTTGGACTTTCATGACTACAATACAAGGTTTCATGGATATCTTGCCCGTGTTTGGAAACGGTTTTCAAGACGCCAGGTCCCACCAACGGTCGTGATGCGAACGTGTCTCTTGGCTTTGGGGCTGGCTTTGGGGCACGGAGAGGACAGCAAAGTGCAATCAATCAAACTAATAATAGCTTTTTGTTACTACTAGTAAGGCACTTGTTACTACTAGCGTGGCACTTGTTACTAGTAGTAACAAGAGTCTGATGTTCCGATGCTCCTTAATTTTCCATGCGTTTGATGATCCTATGAATTGAATATCAGATGTCACCCAGTGTCAGGAGGAGAATGGCACACAGTATGTCGCCCCGGATGTCTCCGGGTTGCACTTCGCAGAAACCTTTGATGGAGATGCTGCGTGGCTGAAACAATTGCTGCACAAAAGGCAGCGTCGGTTCGCCTTTGGAGGTTGACCTGCGGAGCTTCCAGTGGGGCTAGTGTTAGAGGGGGCTGTCAACAGATTGGAGATTTTGTGATTCCTGTTGCGAGCATGTATTCTTAGTTCTTCGTGAGCCCTTCTTGCAGCAATGTGCCAGGTTTTTTCGCGATGGAAGCACTCCACAGCAGATGCTTTGTTGCAAACACGGTAGGGAGTTGGCATGGGATCAAACATTTTTCTGCATCAGGCTTCTCAGACTCGCCTGTAATGTTGCAGTGTTTCTCCCACTCCGTCGCATGGTTTCTTATTGAACATTTCATAGATATCCGAGTCTTGTCCGTGGAGTGGGCCTGTTTCCTATATATATATAAGTCGTTGAGGGCTCTGAAGACCTGTCAGGAGAAGTACAACGGCCAGTTCTCTGTGTCGACGCGAGCCACAGAGGCCCTCTGGAGATTGCAGTCATTTCAGAGAGGGGGACAGACAGAGAGAGAGAGAGAGAGAGAATGAGAGAGAGAATGAGAGAGAGAATGAGAGAGAGAATGAGAGAGAGAATGAGAGAGAGA